CTATCAATGCCAATTTTGAATGGAAGAATTGGCAAATGGATTTTAGCATTGTCGAATTTAATTTAAGGTACGAATCGGCAAAGGCGGTAAAGGGTCAAATTATTGCCGATTTTATTACCCAACATCGGGATCTTTTCTGTTGAGGCGATAAGCATTGTGCCTTGGGCCTTGTTCTTCGATGGATCATCTTGTAACAAAGGTGGTGGTGCTGGTATTCTCTTGATTTCCCCACAAGGAAAAACTTTTGAGTATGCGGTTCCTATTGAATTTCATGTTACTAATAATCAGCAGAGTATGAAGTTACCGCTTAGAGGGCTTGACTTCTTATAGAAGTAAAGGCCATTCTTTGTTGAAATCTTTGGGGATTACGAGTTGGTGATTAATCAACCGAGTGGTGATATGAATGCAAGAATAATGTGTTAAGAGAATATTATGAGGAGTGTAGAGAACTTTTGAAGAATTTTTTACGGTAGTAACCTTGCATCATATCCCTAGAGAGTACAATGAAGAAGCAAATAAGTTAGCTCAAGTCGCTTCGGATATCGAGAGAGTCGGGAAGTTTTTGCTATAGAAGAAGGTGTTTTAAATATCTTGATCAAGTAGATGGTGATTGGAGATACAAAATTACCAATTATCCGAAAGGTCCATCTCAAAAAGTTTCGAAAAACTCGGTACAAAGCTCTCAAATTTGTGTTCCTTGATGATCGGTTATATTACAAGTCCATCGATGGAGTATTGCTCAAATGTTTAAGTCAAGAAGAGGCCAAGAAGGTGATGTATGAGGTTCACGAAGGATTGTGTGGCACACACGATCAAACTTATCGGATGAAGTGGATAATCGGGAGAACTGGTTATTTTTGGCCGACTATGTTGGAGGATTGTTTTGAATATTACAAAGGGTGTCACAATTGTCAAAAATTCGGCAATATTCAAAAAGTTCCAAAGATCTCGCTATGAATCCCATAATCAAGCCTTGGCCGTTCGGAGGATGGGGTATAGATTTAATTGGTCAGATCAATCCTCCTTCTAGTAAGGGACACAAATTTGTACTCTTGGCCACGGATTATTTCACCAAGTGGGTTGAAGCTATCCCTTTGAAGAAGAATTCTATGATTTTGCCAAAGATATGGGGATTAAGTTGTATAATTCTTCTCCTTATTATGCACAAGCTAATGGCGTGCGGAAGCATCAAATAAGATTATGATTAAAATCATCCGAAGAAGATTGATGAAAACCAAGGAGATGGCACTTGGTTCTTAATGAAGCATTGTGGGCTTACCGAATGGCTTGTCATGGGTCCACTCAAACGTCTCCCTATGAACTGGTTTATGGGCATCATGCTATATTACCATGGGAATTACGGTCAAGTTCAAGGCGAGTTGTGTTACAGAAAGAATTGGTAGAAGAAGATTATAAGAATCTGATGATGGATGAATTGGAAGATTTACATTTGATTCGTCTCAAGGCATTGGAAAATATTGAAAAAAAAAAAATACGCGTTGCCAAGTATTATAACAAAAGGGTTAGAAATTTGAAGCAATTCGCAGAAGGAGACTTGTTTGGAAAACTATATTGCAGTTGGAACAAAGGATAGAGGCGTTTCGCAAATGGTCTCCAAATTGGGAAGGTCCTTTCCGAATAGTAGAATGTGTACTGGCAATGCATACATATTGAAGACTTTATTTAGGGAGGAGTTTACAGAGCTATCAATGGAAGATTTCTAAGAAATATTACCCAAAGTGTTGAGGTTGGTTCATGAACGTAGATCGAAAAGCCGATAAAAGGAAAATCGCCTTTAGCCTAAAAAAAAAAAAGCGAGAATAGCCGATATTGTTCATATCGCCTTTAGCACAAATTAGCCGATGCGATCTGGTTTGCATCGCCTCTAGCACAAGAATGTTTATGCAAGACCGGGGTGTTTTCAGCATTTTTCTGACAGTCGCAGGCAGAATTTTACTGAAAAGAATCAAAGAGGAATAAGCCAAAAGAAGAACGGGAAGATCAAGTAGAAATTGCCGAATATAAGTGAAGTTTACCTCTGGAATTTCATCTTGGGTCGCCATTGAAGATTCGAAGTGGGTCCGAGGTTGCTTATTTGAAAGCTTGAATTTTTGGACGGTGCAGTGCGGTGTTGAAGCAGTCTTGACCTAGGAGGAAGAAGGAGCTTGTGGTCAATTTGAGAATAAAACAACTTTTATCCCGAAATTGAGGGGGCATGTGTTAACACTGGATTTTGGTCGACTTTGGAAGATGACAGGTGGGCCCGCATGTGGGAAGAAGGACATTCGGCAAACAAAACGAGCGGTCGGCTAAATGCTTGTGCGGTCGGTTACTTCAGAAGGTGGTGACTCCATTCGGGAAAGCAGAAGATGGCAAGCAAAGCCGATCGAAAAGATGAAAGTTGTAATAATAAAGGACTCTGAGAGTTTAGGGCAAGGAATCGTAGTTTCCAAGTTTGTTTAAGAGTTCTTTTATAAATCGTAGTCTTTTAGGACTCGTGTTTTGTCTAGGGTATAAATATTGACCCTCGACCATTGTAATAGGCGTTCACAACCAAATCAATACAACCGGCCCCGTGCCTACTTTCGAGTCCTTTTGTCGTGTCGTCGAGTTCTTCGAGAGGAGTCATCGATCCGTCGACCTCCGTAAGTTCCGACAACCTTGTTATCATGTTTAGTATCATGCGGTGGATTTAGACGTGATACAAGTAGTCTTGTTTGTTTTCAATGATCGTGCGGCGGATCTTTGCTTGACAATCAAGAAGTCTTTGCTTATGCTTTGTTTATGAGTAGATACCGTGCGGCAGGTGTTTGCTCAATATGCTTAGTGAAAGCAAGATAGTTATCGGCTCTATTAGATACGACAGAATCTAAATAGATTCATTAAGTTATCCTGTGTTGCATGTTTTAAATATTTTATATATTTGTAACACACTTCTGCCCAATCTAGATTGATATTGTTCGGCCCTCTCCTATGGTTTTATTCGTGCTTCAATGATCATTACTTTCATATTACCTTTGCAAATAGATAACATGCTCATAATGGCTGAATTATTTTAATCTAGATTGTCACATGTTGTGGGTTCATGCATGTTAATTACGTTTAAGCTTTGACGAAACTAGGTGTCGTGCGGCAGATGCAGGTTTTAGATTAGCTTAATCGTGTTTATTTGCACGTTCCTTTTTCATGGACCCCAACTCGGCTGGACTGCTGAGCTTGGTTATGCATTAACGCATAATTAATTTCACTTGTTCAAACATGTCTTCCCATGCACATGCATTCGGCAATCGGATCTTTACGTGTGTTCATCTTACGATTAGCCGAATGGTTTATAAACTTGTTGACAGACAGCTTCCTATAGCTGTATGTCGTTGTAAGTGGCTTCAGGGCCGTATATATGGAACTGTCTGGTCTCACCCGACATGTTCTGGTTTGACATTTAACTGTTTTATCCCTTGTTAGTTTTTTTCAGGTCAAACTGACTGGCACGTTTCCGGATCACAAAGCACCCGGGCACCCGATTGAAGCCACGCTTTCCGGCTTGCTATGTGTGAGGCACAGTGCATCACATTTTGTGTCAACAATAGTTATTTTTTTCTCTAACTTGCATTCGGATACAGATAGTATCACCTGACCCCTGACGGGTGTCGAGCTTGGCGGCTGCACTGGGCCCTTAAAAGCAAGGGGCCCAATTTCAGATATGTGTTTGTAGGTGTATGAGATCTCTGGCTTAGTAAAAGATATGCTACGTTCCAGTCGATTTGCCTTCTGTCGCTCCAGCGCTGCTTTGTCGATGTGCGTCAAGCGTCGCCGACTCCGATTACTCGATGTGAACAGCTACGCGGCAACGGCTAGGCAGCCGGCGACTCGCGCACTTTGTTTTAGCATTTCCGAGCCACGCGAGTCCGAGAGATGATCAGACGACGAGACATCAGTTGCATCTGCGTCGAGCATTGACTTATTTGTTTAATGTGTTTAATCATCAATGTTTTGATTTGTCCTCATCAATCTTTATTCTTTAGAGTACAAGGCTCCGAGATTATTCTGATATGGGATTTGGAAATCCCATACAGAGCTGGCGTGCAGCTATAGTGTAATGTGACCTAAATCTATACTCAACACATTTTTAGTAAATTACTTACTAATAATTGTTTGAATTACTGATGAAGTATTCGAGGTCCGTAATGTCTTCAGAAAGATTAAATGGTTTGGCGACTATATGCATTGATGAGAAGGAATTATTAGATGAGATTGTTATGGATGCCAGCATCAATAAGTTTACATATGCAAATATTAGAAGAAAAATTAAAGATAATATTTATAATTTGTCTAACAAGAATGTTTTTTGATGTATTAAAGTGTTTATTAGAAACATCATTATTATTATAATTATATTAAAGGATCCATCTTTTTAGCTTCGCTTCACGCCACCAAACTGAAGGACCGGGCCTGATCACCTGTACTAGAAAAGATGCATCACATATATCAAACTTTTAACTGTTCGATTCAGATATTTTTTTTTGGGAATCAGTTTGATTCAGATATGATATGGATATTGAATGCCTCGATTCAAAATATTCATTTAGTACCAAAATTGTGTCGGTCAGATAATTTGGTTGCGATTAACCTTGTACTGGTCATCCTTAAAGGATCTAGCGTATACCTTATCATACTATTATTTTTATAGTTAATATTAATCATTTTTAAGAATAATTTTTACCTTGATATAGGTTATAATAAAGAGAAAATTACTTATTTGACACCAAAAAATACTTACAGTTCCCAATTTAGCACTCAAACTTGAAATGTTCCTGGCCTCCCTTGAAATTTTTGTTCCTAAAATAACACTACCGTCCATTTAGTGATTTAGATCACCTCTATCATGAACTATCATGTGGGGCCACATGCAAAAGATGAGAATGCCCTGTGTCTCAATTCATCAATACAGAAAAAGAAAAAACTCTTCGTTCATCACGTACCTGTGTGAGCATAACCCTAACATGGAGGGTGGCGGCGCGGCCGCCACGGGCACCACATACGGCCCTGGTGCAGCTCCTCTGAGCTCCGGTGAGGCACCTCCTCGCCCCGTCGCGATCCTACGCGGCTGTCACGGCCCATGCGTGCTGGGCGAGGCCCCTCCCGGCACTGGCGCGTCCGTCACGGTAGGTCCTAGGCTAGGCCCTCCCCGCCCCGTCACCAGCCCGTGCGGCCCCGGTGCATCTGGTGCGATCACGTGAATCGGGCGATCCCCCCGTGACTGGCGGGCGCATCACCTCCCTGGCACTGGCACGGCGGCACCTCCTGACAGGCCCCAGCTGGCACCGGAAAAAACACCAAAACACTTTATGTACTACAAGGAACAACAACCATGTTAAGCCCTTGTTTAGTTAGGTGAATTTGGATTTTAAGATTACTGTAGTATATTCGTTTTTATTTGCCCCAACTAGCACCGCCAAAAAATTAGTTTTACACTACATTTAAAACACGCCAAAACATTGTACTACAAGGAACACCAACCATGTTAAAAATAAAAAATGGCACCTAAACATGTCTTTACCAGAGAGAATGTCACCACAGATGGCAAATTAAAGGAGGGGCAAAATCGTCCATTTGCATTTGAGTTAACACTTACATGTTCAATCTAAAGATAGTGTCATTTTGGGAAATTTCAAACGAGACCAGATAAGAAAATTTCAAGTTTAAGTGGTAAATTGGGAACAACAAGTTTTCCTGCTGGCGCTCTTGGTTGGCCCATAAGTTTTCTACAATTGTAGGAATTTTCCCAAGAGTGTTCCCAATTGTTGTTCCCAAGAGTGCGATTAGGAAGAAATTTTCTCTATAATAAACTACAACCTCTGAAGACTACTATTGTGGAAAATAACTATTTTAACAACATATTGCACAACCTCTGACAACGTGTTAAGGGAAAGTTACATGTTTTTCCAACGTTATTATGTTAAGATAGTTGTATGCTTTTATAAAGTTTTTTTTTTTTGCGACATGTGTCTACATAATTCTAAGTTTTACAAATTTACATTTTTTTGTTCAAAATGTAATGTGCATCGTTTCAAGGGAGCTGTATGTGTCGGCGGGCCCTATGCCAAGCGGGGCACGGTGGCAGGCCCCTGCAGTGGCGGGGCCCACATCTCATCCTCACACTGCTCCTGCTCCACCTAGCAAGGATCGTCCGCGGGCCGCGGCCAGCAGGCGCCGCTCCTGCCGCCGTTGCGGCGCCGCAGCTCCGAGAAGTCGAGGCGCAGCTCACCAACCTGACCAAGCGCGTCACCAGCATAATCTCCGACCGCTCCAGATTCTGCATCGCGGACCCGTAAGTTTTCCCGCTCGCGTTCTTGGTCGGCCGCGCCATCGATTAAAGGTGGAGCTCGTCGCGTTTCGTGCTTCCCATCGGGATGACTCGGGCTGTCTTTGGTGTTTCAGGGAGGAGGATTGGAATGCGGCATTCAATTACACATTCAACCTCGACTTCCTGCAGCAGTGCCTCGTCGAGACCAGAGGTAAATCTGCAAATCGGTAACGCTCACATTTCTAGAGGGCTTCTTGCTGAATTCTTGGATGGATTCTTCAATACAATAGCAAGTACCGATGGCAAGAGGTTCTTAGTTTGACTGTTTGAGAGATGGAAAGTTTATAACTTTTTTGAAGAAAGAACAATTGTGGTGGATCACCACTTTTGTAGTCCATGTTGGTTGTCCATATTGGGTAAATAGTTGGCACTAATTCAGAATATATCTAAAACTAAATAATTGGCACTAGTTCAGAATACATAAACTAGTATGAATTCTCTGCACCTGACTGCATCCATGATGTTATTCTATATGTGTACATGTACCGATGATACACTCCAGTACTCCACTACTCTAGCATAGAGGAACTCTGTGTCTTTGTCTCATGTGCCTTTAGTAATGGATGGGCAAAGATCAAAACACAACACATTTGAATGACTAGCATATTATATATTTTTTCCTTTCTGACTTAAACAGCAGTCTAATCTTACAACTGAAGATTTGAAGCTATTCATATGTTTGATAAAATCGAAGAGTTATACTTGCAGAAGAGTATGCCCTTTTGAATGAGATATGTGATTTGCATACATGGATACATGAGGTCTTCTGTTCTCTTATGTCTAAATTCAATCTAGTAAGGACCATGCATCTTAGCATGCTTCTTAAATTAGACAACCCTGAACTGCCATGCTCTACATACAGTACTTCTCTCTAGAACCTGTGAACTTATAGAGTATAGGAGATCTGTAATAATTTCTACTCTCAACTTTTAGAGTATACTGGGACATATTTTAATTGTTGGTTGCTTATCAGATGATTAAAAGTATATTATTCTGATGTGAAAAAATGATTCTTAAAGGTGATCTGGTTGGTCGTCTATGCACACCAGCAGAAGTGAGATTCTACTTCTCATGCCTCCATGATCAGAAAGGCATGAACAATATCTTCCTGAACACTACTATAAACTGCAACCAGTCCTCTTGGGTGCAGGGATGTGAGCCAGGATGGACTTGCTCAGTTAGTCCAGATATTTTACTGAGCAACATCAACAGCAGCATGATTCCACCAAGAACTACCAACTGTCAACAGTGTTGTAAGGGTTTCTTCTGCCCCCGTGGTCTTACTTGCATGCTGCGTGAGTTTTTCCAACACTTCTGAGATAATTATGCTCGTGATCTGGTACTATTTTCCAATGTGTGTTGAGCTTTCTGTTTGTTGCCTGTAGCTTGTCCACTGGGCTCATACTGTCCACATGCCAAATTGAACATAACCACTGGTCTTTGCGATCCGTAAGTCGTCGCTTTTTCTGTTTGGTTTGCATTTAGACCATGGTACGCAAACAATGTGTGATTGCATTCATATGAATTGCTGAACTCTGTACAGATACAAGTATCAGTTCACCCCAAACTCAAGAAATGCCTGCGGTGGCGCTGACATGTGGGCTGATTATAAGAGGACAGAAGATGTATTCTGTCCAGCAGGTTACTACTGCCCAACGGCAACATCCAAAAAGTCCTGTAGCAGCGGGTAAGGATCTTATCCTATCATTCCTCTCTCTTTCTTCGCATGAATGTTTACAAAATTATTTGACTTGGTCATGTTGCTTCCTCTTTGGCTTTTATTCAGGCACTATTGCAGGTTGGGTTCCACCACTGAAGATAGTAAGCATTATCTGCCAGATATCTGATCCTGCAGTTTCATTTCTAATCTCACGTTCATAGCAATTGTCCTTCAGTATGCTGAATTCTGATTAAAATCGCAGAATGCATAATAAAAGACTTCTGTAAAGAGAACACAAAAAATGAGAGCATATTTGTGCTTGGTGCTTGCTTGGTGGTAAATCCTCAAAAAATCTCATCATTTTACATTTTTGCTGCCATGCTATCTTACATCTTATAGTAATGTTCTTTGCAAATCTCTGATCCATTAACCCTATTAGATTTCAGTGCATAACCTCCTATGGGTATAAAAATTGAAAATCGCAATTTGATGCAGGGTGCATTGAGTGTGGTGCTTTTGATCATATATAACTTCTCAGATCAGTTCCTCACAATCCGTGAACGGAGAAAAACAAGATCGAGGGACAAAGCCATTAAGATGGCTAGGCAGCAGATCAGAGCACAAAAGCACTGGAAGGTGGCAAAACAGCCATTGAAGAGTCATGTAAACGGAAGCCAGAGTCATGTTCCTCACACGTTAGGGTCCTTTGCTCAACATGCTGATAGAGAGGACTCTACCCATAGAATGGAAGAGACACCAATGGTTCCACTGAAGGCACAGGAACTATCACTGAAGGCACAGGAACTATCAGAAGCTTCAGTGTTTGAGAGTGAAGGCACGAACGAGATATCTGAATCTGCTTCGTCAGTTGTGGTGATTTCGGGTGGTGGTGGGGAAACTGCTGTTACCAAGAACAAATGTGCGCTGAAAGGAAAGTACAGATCAACAGTCTCACAAAGATTCAAGTACGCATATGTGAGTATTGAGAAGGAGAAGATCGAGGAGCAAGAAAACAAGAACCTTTCCTCCAGTAGTGTCATTACTACGGTGAGTGAACAGAATGAGATATCTAGGCCTTTGCTTAAAGTTGAGTTCAAGGACCTTACCCTGACACTAGGGAAAAACAAGCTACTGAGATCTATCACAGGGGAGCTCCAGCCTGGCCATGTTACCGCTGTCATGGGCCCCTCAGGTGCTGGCAAAACCACATTCCTCAATGCCATTGCTGGGAAGGTAGCTGGCTATAAGATTAACGGTTCGATCCGTGTTAATGGAAAGTATGACAAAATCCGCTCTTATAAGAAGATTATTGGCTTTGTGCCACAAGGTGATATTGTTCATGGAAACTTAACAGTGGAGGAAAATCTTTGGTTCAGTGCAAAATGCAGGTACTGATGCCTAATGATCATTGTCAATTATTCTTTCAGTTTTAGTAACTAACACAACCATGTCTAAGAACATATATTTCAAACAAGCAGGCTATGCACGCAAATGCCACAATGCGACAAGGTCCTCACTGTTGTAAGGGTAATAGATTCCTTGGGCCTTGAGACAATTAAGAATTCATTGGTTGGGACAGTTGAAAAACGTGGGATATCTGGGTGGCAGAGAAAGCGTGTTAATGTAGGAATTGAGATGGTCATGAAGCCGTCCCTTCTTATGCTGGATGAGCCTACCTCTGGCCTCGACAGCTCTTCATCGCAACTCCTTCTAAAAGCTCTTCGCCATGGGGCTCTTGAGGGCACAAACATTTGCACTGTTATTCACCAACCAAGGTTACCCACAAAAAAATCATTTTGCTAGAGATAATTTTGAGATTTCTGAAAGGTTTCTCAATATAATGATTCTTTCTGCTCTGCAGCTATACATTGTACAGTATGTTTGATGATTTGATACTTTTGGCAAAAGGAGGTCTAATAGTTTACTGTGGTCCTGTCAACACGATTGAGGAGTATTTCAAAACTCTTGAGATTCATGTTCCTGACTGTGTAAATCCGCCAGATCACTACATTGACATTCTCGAAGGAATTGTAGAGTCCGACTCAGGCATCAAAGCGAAGCATCTTCCTCTGCATTGGATGTTGTACAATGGCTATGAGGTGCCAAATGACATGAAAAATGATATGGAGACAATGCATGACGGAAACAGGACATCATTGCCTAGATCAATGCCCAATCAACTTCCCAACATCAGAAATACATATGTGGGAGAGCAAGGCCAGCTCCAGTGTGACTTATCAAGACCTAAGGATCTGTTAGGAAGGACACCAGGGATTCTGATTCAATACAAGTACTTTCTGGGCAGGTACACTTAAAAGTCAATATTCTCAAGCTTGTGAAAATTTTGAACTGCTATTTTATCACTTTTTAGATTTACTTTCCGCATGCCATTGCAGGGTCATGAAACAGAGTTTGCGCGAAGCTGGCCTGCTTGCGGTTGATTTCCTAATACTATGTTTGGCTGGAATATGCCTTGGGATACTTGCAAAGTTCAGTGACCCGACATTTGGGATGCCTGGATATATTTACACCATAATTGCAGTCTGTAAGTTTAATACTTCAGTATCCTATGTGTTTGCACTCTCAATGTTGTGAAGTTACTGTGATGCAGCTCTTTTGTGCAAAATTGCAGCACTGAGGTCAAATTCACTGGAAAGGTTGCAGTACAAAAGGGAGAGAGAATCTGGGATGAGCTCTTTTGCATATTTCCTTGCCAGGGACACCATTGACCATTTTAACACAGTTATGAAGCCGGTTGTTTACCTCTCCATGTTCTACTACTTCAGCAATCCAAGGTCAACGATGGCTGATGACTACACAGTGTTATTAGCACTTGTGTACTGTGTGACCGGGATTGGTTATACTTTGGCTTTCTGCTTCAATCCTGCTTTAATTATCATTCCTATTCCTATTCTGGCTTCTTTCATGAATTGTATTCTATGACTCTATTTTGCAGTGTGCTGCAATAATACCAGTTATCCTGACCTTGTTGTCGACTCACCCAAGTACACATCTGTTCCTGAAAAACTTGTGCTACACAAAGTGGGCACTGGAGGGCTTCATCAATGTAAATGCTAAAAGGTACTTCCTTTGTTTAAGATGGAAAGTCATTCTGGTTTTGTCCTAAGTGAAAAACTTTGAACAAGTTTTGACCAAAAAAAAAACGATATTTATGATATCAAATAAGTATCATTAGATTCATCATGACATAGTAATGCCTATTTCGTGTGACAATTATTGGTATTCTTCTTTATATATATAACTTGATCAAATTTAAGATGGTTTGACTTCGAAAAGAAGTAGAATGATTTTTCTTTTTGGTCAAACTTAAGAGGGAGTAAGAGCTTTACACGTCACAATGTTTTTCAAAGTAGATATAACCATATAGGTGAAGACTATATTTGTTTTGCAAAAATAGTTATTCATAACGAAAGTTTGGTGACACGTTTGAAATTGTGACAGCTCGTTACATGAATTTAATCATGTGACGCCTGTAAATTGCAAGGGGCGTGTTTCTTGCCAAGTTGCTGCAAGACTGCGACTGCATATTTGTTCTAACCTATGTGCTGTTTACAGGTAACCGGGAGTGTGGTTAATAACTCAACAACAACAACAACAATAAAGTCTTTAAGTCCCAAACAAGTTGGGGTTGGCTAGAGTTGAAACCCAGCAGAAGCAATCAAGGTTCAGGCACGTGAATAGCTGTTTTCCAAGCACTCCTATCTAAGGCTAAGTCTTTGGGTATATTCCATCCTTTCAAGTCTCCTTTTATTGCCTCTACCCAAGTCAACTTCGGTCTTCCTCTGTCTCTCTTCACGTTACTATCCTGGCTCCAAACTATCTCAACCGGTGTTGGACAAACTTTTCTTCAATTGGTGCTACTCCTAATCTATCACGTATATCATCGTTCCGAACTCGATCCCTTCTTGTATGACTGCAAATCCAATGCAACATACGCATTTCCGTGACACTTATCTGTTGAACATGTCGTCTTTTCGTAGGCCAACATTCTGCACCATACAACATAGCAGGTATAATCGCCGTCGTATAAAACTTGCCTTTTAGCTTCTGTGGTACCCTTTTGTCACATAGGACACCAGATGTTTGGCGCCACTTCATCCACCCTGCTTTGATTCTATGGCTAACATCTTCATCAATATCCCCGTCTCTCTATAACATTGATCCTAAATATCGAAAGGTATCCTTCCTAGGCACTACTTGACCTTCCAAACTAATATCTTCCTCCTCTCGAGTAGTAGTGCCGAAGTCACATCTCATATACTCAGTTTTAGTTCTACTGAGTCTAAAATCTTTAGACTCCAAAGTCTCCCGCCATAACTACAGTTTCTGATTCACTCCTGTCCGGCTTTCATCAACTAGCACTACATCGTCCGTGAAAAGCATACACCAAGGGATGTCTCCTTGTATGTCCCTTGTGACATCATCCATCACTAAGGCAAACAGATAAGGGCTCAAAGCTGACCCTTGATGTAGTCCTATCCTAATCGGGAAGTCATCCGTATCTCCATCACTTGTTCGAACACTAGTCACAATATTGTTGTACATGCCCTTAATGAGCCTGACGTACTTCGTTGGGACTTTATGTTTGTCCAAAGCCCACCACATAACATTCTTTGGTATTTTATCATAAACCTTCTCCAAGTCAGTGTGGTTAATAACTCGCTGTGGTTTATTGTTCGAGAATCACTTTGACGTCCACAATTTCAAGCTTTATATTTCGATTTTGTTTATGTATGGTCTGTTCTTCTGGATCGTTGCATTTCTGTCTATGATTTTACTGAATAAGAAATGAGTGAATTCAAGTGTACACCTTTCTCATAAACATATTCATTTTAACTGTAAATTAGTTTATGCTCTTTACTACCAAAAATTAATACTCCATCCGTTTTAAATTATAAGTTGTTTTGACTTTTTTTTGTACATCTATTTTGTTATACATTTAGATATGTCTAGATGCATAGTAAAATGGATGAACCAAAAATGTGAAAGCGACTTATAAGTTGGAAGGAACGGAGGGAGTAAAAGTGAAAGGTGCAAAAACTTGGTCTTCACAGGGAAAGGAAGATGCTTGAGATACCTCATCTTCAATAATTATATTATAGTTGATTACTGTGCACAATATTATTGCTGTTGTAATGATTTGTGTCAGTAACCTTGTATAAGCTACCGTGGTAAACATAAAAAGTGTTGGTCATGTACATGGAGGGAAGATGGGAAAAATTTCCTAGTTTTGATAGTAACCAAAGGATAAAAAAGAAAGTAGCACCGTTAATTTCAAAGACATGTGTCATGAACTGGGCTGCCAAGTGGGCCGAAACTGGGCTGCCATGTGGGCTGGGTTGAAGAAAGGGCTTCAACTGCAAAAGGAAGGAGCAATGTTGGGAGAGGGGGATCCAAGAGAATATAACCAATAGTAACCTGAGGTTATCTTCTATATATGTCCAGGAACTCTGTAGGGTAGCTGTCTACCTCTGATTCCCGTCTTTCCTTACGTAATTCCCTCTAAATCCTCTTATATCCTAACTGGAATTGAGTAAATCTTAGTGTTGTTGAGTATTCTTGTCTGGATATCAAGGTCTCTGACAAGATGGTCTTTATTTTGTTTTAGTTTTTGAAAGGCATGGGCAAGTAGGGGTCAAAATGGATTGAATCCTTGAATGTGCAATAGAAATAAAACAGTTCAAATTCAAATCCAAGTACGAATGTCTATTTGATTTTTTAAAACCTCAGGCTTGAAGCCCTTTTGATTTGGACAGATTCAGCCGAATCGTTGAGACAAGACATCTAAACTTTTACAAATTGTGGGATGGGATCAGCCCAAACATGATACGGATCCAGGTCTCAACTATGTGATATACATGCAAGCTCGTGCATGCGCACACAGAGTTACCAGTTATGTTAATGAATATGCACGAGATATCTACGTGTACAGAGTTTTCCTGCACCATCCATCGACAAGGAATCTAGAGCTTGGAGTAGAATTGTAGAGTCGGATTCTAGTTGGATGCTAGAGATGCCCAACACCAGTGCTTAAAAAAGTCCTTTCAGACTGGCCATCCCGTCAGCTATCACTTTACCATGAACCGCCGACAAATTCCGTTAGGGCTTAACGCTATGCATGCTTTACTGTTTCCTCTTTTTTTCTCTCTAGATATATGTGCCGTCCCATATATTGACAACAAGGAAACTGCAGCAAGATTAAATGGTCTCATATGGAAAGTTTGCCATTTATCTCTATAGGTGAAAAATACATAATGGTACATCCAATATTAAGTTTAAAATTAACATCATGCGTCATACACAATAAAGGCGATGAGATTTTTCTCAATCTGCTGTAGGAGCACTCCCCTATAATCTCAAATCATGTTTTCTCAATCCCCTATAGGAGATTTTTAAGGGAACGAGATACTCAATCTGGTAGAGATGCTCTAAGGTGCAACGGTTTTTGTGTCATTTATTTTGTTTGTGTCATAAACTCATTGAAATCGTACTACCTCATTTTCTATCAGAACTGCAAAAGTGAAATAAATGTCTTATTCTTGATATAAGATAATTTCATTTTGTTGTTTTGAAAGCCCGAATCTCATGTCTCTATAATGATGTTTATAACATCAAGTACATCCTCCATCGGGCTAGACTTGCCAATCACACCATCATCTCATATTCATGAAGCGGTTACAGAGGTTGATGTTCTTCTTTCTTCAGGAGGAATATTTCGTTATAAAAGAACCTATATATACAGTGTAGCGATAGCTAGCTAGGTAGGTTTGTGAAAACCATGATGTGCTGTTGGTATTAGTAAAAGCTCAAGAACAGCAGCTTTAACATCTACAAACTTACGCCGTGTTTAGTTCCAAATTTTTTTCCAAAAAGTGCTACATTACTTATCACATCGAATCTTACGATACGTGCATGGAACATTAAATGTAGACGAAAAAAAACTAATTGCACAGTTTGGTTGGAAATTGCGAGACGAACGTTTTGAGCCTAATTAGTCCATAATTGAACATTAATCGCCAAATAAAAACGAAAGTGCTACAGTAGCCCAAATTCCAAACTTCTCTCAACTAAACATGCGCTTAGAGGGAATCGTGGTGATATATATGCTACTGAGTACTGACACTACCATCCAAGTAACAAACAATAAAGCTAATGCTACGCTGGAGGCAAGATTGTACCTGATTGCCCAGGAACAATGGGATTAGATTGTCTCAACGGCTAGATATATTGCCTTTTTCTTTCTAGCTGGTGGTAGACATGTCGAATTAGTGGATGCCTGGAACCACCTGAAGCAAGTTATAAAATTGTAGGATTCCAGCAAGTTGGATTCATTTTTCTAATTCATGATGATCAGACAGCGTCTTTCTTCAGGTGGTATTTTTCTTCAAAAGAAATAATTCTTTTGAACTTAAAGTAGAAAAAAAAAAATCATGGTGTTTTATTTTTGTTAGCGAAATTTAGAAGTAATCATGGTAATACTTTTGTCTACTTCTGGGCTTGCGTGTACGAACATCCTTTTTTCACGGTAAAACTGACAAGGTTGTCAAAGTTGTTCAAAAGTAATTGAAGCCTGAACTTGTCGTGAATGTAAATCATGTAAAAAAAGTTCTAAAAATACGTGATGGTCAAGCGATGTATGCAGCAAAGGGTCATATTGACTATATAGAGATATTATGGAACGACATGCAGTTCAGTATGATGAATATGTAATGGCAAGCTAATATTGAAATCTTTATATATTCTTTTTCTTATTACATGACTATCCATTGTCAGAGTTGGCCACAGAATTTTGTATTAGTGCTCATGATATATCATTTAATTTAGTTCTGCACATTTTCTACCTGGATCAGTAATGAAAAATATTATTTCTGGGATCTAAGTTTTACACGCATAGGCTGGGCATATATCAGGTACAACTGGTG